GACCCTAGGAAAGAGGGTGGGGGGAAGACAAAGAGGCCAGGGAGGACAGTGGCACATCCTCAGTCTTCAGTTGGTCTTAACAGCACACAGAGGGGCGCCTGGGTGGCTCAGTTGATTAAGCGACTGCTTTCGGCTCAGGTCGTGATCCTGGAGTCTGGGAATCGAGTCCCGCATCAGGCTCCCTGCTCGGCGGGGAGTCTGCTTCTCCCTCTGACCCTCCCCCCTCTCATGTGCGCGCGCTCTCTCTCTCTCTCAAATAAATAAATAAAATCTTTTTTAAAAAATTGCACACGGAGGCATGAAAAGCTGAAGGGAGCTTTATGCGTGAGAACAGGGATGGTGATTGTGCTTATAGGCTGGGGTAAGGAGGGAAGGAAACCCCATGCTTCCCAGTCTCATATTTAAGATTGTGAGCTGGTAAAAGGCTAAATATATGTAGAAGGGTAGGACACTACAAAATGGAAGGAAAGGTTTGAGAGTTTAAGTTCACGGAGTGGGAAAGACTCCAAAAAGCTAGCGGGGTTTTGGATTAGTGTATAGATGTGCATGTTTACACGTAAATGTGTATGCACTTGGGGGACAGGAGAAATGAGAATCAGGAAAGGGACTGATCACGAGCAGGCAAATTAATTTTGAATGAAGAACAAAAGATAAAAAAGTAAAAGATATGTAAACCTACCAGTCAATTCCAAAGCCTTAACCGAAACAAACAAAAAAAATCAGGTGTCAAGGAAATGAATATGTGGCAAATTAAATTGAAAATATAACATTGGAAAGAATTGATCCCAACATTTGGAACTAAGAACATTAAAAAATTGTCAACTACATAAGTGTGGATCAGTACGCAATTTTCAGAACATTGGAAAGGCAATTACACCTCATTTATTCATATGACTAAGGGGGAAGGGGATTTCATGGAATTTAAAACAAACATTTTTCTTGGAAAATACCTCTTCATAATGTGAGAGGAGAAAAAAATTCTCTGTATTTATCCCAATTATTCAAGAAATTATTGGACAGTTCATGTCAATCAGCATTATCATATGCTGAGAAAGACCAAAAATTTTTAAATAATTTTTAAATTAATTTAATTTAAATGAAATGAGAAGCCTAAACTCTTTTTAAGCTTAAAAAATCTGCAGGCAGTCTATTTGTTCCCTGGATGAAAGTAGAAGAGAATGAAGAAAGCATCTAATTTAACACAGCATTACACCTTTGGGAAACGTAGATGTGAGTGTAAATATTTTCAGGGCAGAGCACATGCAAATGAAATGGAAGTACAGATCTTCCAGAGTATGCTACCTTCAACAGATAAAGGAGCATTCATAACTTTTCTGTGTTTCAAGACTTGGTCTTGGAAAGGTTGGTCTTAAAATAACACTTTCAAGAACCGCTGCTCTATGAGGAAGCAGAATGCTGCCTGGTTTTCTATAGCTGCAAGGGAAAGATTGCAATCATTCCACCAGCAGATACAGGTTTGACGTCTTCAAGAGGAAGCACTCAGATTCCATTTTTAAACGGGGACAGAAGAGGTGCTAGAAGCCCAGTAAGAAATGGATTAAACTCAAAGACCGTGGGCATGTAATGTTTTCAACTCAGAGTAATTACGGAGTCTATAATACACTTGGTTGCTGATTCCTAGAATAAAATTAGGCATTTGTTCAAGGAGTAAATAATCACACACCTTTGAAATAGAAAGTGTAAACCTAACGGTGTCTGGAAAACAAGCCAGGCCAGAAGGAGGTCATTCCAAACAGCCCCAGTCATGGAAACCAACCAAGGAACTGGTCTTTCCAAGTTGTTGTTTTTTCCTGGAATAAAGTCGTTCCTAGTCTCTTCATTCTGCATCTTATTTGTAAATTAAAGGCAGAGGGTTTCTGGGTGCAGTGGATTTCCCAGTTCAACAAAGGATTGGGGGGCGCGCAGAGGAGGGAACTCTGAAAGGCGTGGTCGCCCGCTCCTCGGCTCTCCAAGGACCTTCCTCCTCAAACAACTTTAGAAACCTAAAGAGTTATGTGGCAAGGATGGAAAAAAGGGAAAGACAGAGCGAGTGAAATGTAAAGGATAGAGAAGCAAACTGAAGAAAGGTGAGGTTAACCGCACCTCGACGCTGTGACCGGGCGGCGTTGACCGCAGCGGTCACCGACCTGACGGAGGTCGCTGCGCGCGAGACGCCTGCACAAATGCCCAGGGGACTGCGATCCTGACTCCGGAGGGGGGCCACTCGATGCCGGCAGCTACAAGTCACGACTGCGGCAAAGCTCAGAGACGGAGAGCCAGCAGGCTGGGCCCAGAAACCCCACACCCCGCGGCAGGGAGCAGGCGCAAAGCGCGGCAGGAACTTTCCAAGAGGCGTCCGGTTTAACACAGTTTAAGCACCGCCCTTCGCATTGGTCCCTAAAACGTGGGCCGGGCTCTGGCTCGGGTCCTCCCTGAGCGGATACAGCGGGCCTGCGGTGTTCCCAAACAGGTCCGACAAACTACTATATAAGTTGCTACCTCGGAGGCACAAAGTTGTGCTTCTCTTGCAGGCATGTCTGGCCGCGGCAAAGGCGGGAAGGGCCTGGGCAAGGGCGGCGCCAAGCGCCACCGCAAGGTGCTGCGCGACAACATCCAGGGCATCACCAAGCCCGCCATCCGGCGGCTGGCCCGGCGCGGCGGCGTCAAGCGCATCTCCGGCCTCATCTACGAGGAGACCCGCGGGGTGCTCAAGGTGTTCCTGGAGAACGTGATCCGGGACGCCGTCACCTACACGGAGCACGCCAAGCGCAAGACGGTCACGGCCATGGACGTGGTCTACGCGCTCAAGCGCCAGGGCCGCACCCTCTACGGCTTCGGGGGCTGAGCGCACCGGACGCCCCCGTTATTTCCAAACACAAAAAGGCCCTTTTTAGGGCCCCCAAGTTTTCCCTGAAAGAGCTTTAGTGCTTGTCTACAAACAGCTCTGGGTAGAGCCGTTGCGTAAGTTTTTGGTTATGCTTACGAGGTTGGTTCTGCGTGGGGCGTTGAAGACGGGGACAGAATGGTACTGAGTGGCCGGGGGCCAGGGCCTCTGCTTACCAACCCCAACCGCTTTTCGCAGCGGGGTGGGAACCGCATGGGATCTGGAGACCTTAGATCTGAAGGACCAGGCCTCTAATAACACTAACCTGGGTTCCTTCGAATATGTTCCTTAATGTCAGGGGCGAAGGGTGTAAAAGGAATGGGAACCTTGAAAAATAGTGTTGGGTTAAGAGGAGTGGCAGAGAGCTCTAGTTAGTTTATCTTCTCTACAGTGTAGAACACAGATAAAATACGCATTTAACTGCTGGAATTTAAATTGCTGTATTTCCCCCATTACAAATAGCACTGCTATGGGCATTGTACACAGCTGTATGCTTTTCGCTGGTTGCAGATCTAGGAGTGGAATTGCTTGATAATGGGGTCTGTGCATATTCAACATGAAATGAGCAACTTGCTTTCCAAGGTTGTATTTTTAGTTTACACCCCCATAATCCACAAGTACTCAGAGTTCCTCTTCAACATTTCACTAATGGCAGACTAAAAATTTTTGGTCAGCATTTGCTAAACTAAATCTCATGTATTTAAATTGCATTTCTCTGATTATGTTGCCTAGTTTTACATTTTTGGCTACTTTGGAGTCACGTCATAATGTTGGGTTCATATTTTTAGTAGTTCTTTCAAATGCTGCCTGTTCATATAGTAATTATTTCCCCTCTCCCTTAATTCCCCAAAGAACTGCAGGCATAAGTAGACAAAAAAAATTTAGGCTGCTTATCTCATGATTTGGCTTGGACAGTCAGTCTTTTCTGAAATCACTGATAACAGATTGATTTTCCTATTCTCTTAATAGGCAATGATTAACCGAAAGCCTAAAATTTGCAAGGCATTATAAAAGACAAAGGTAGAGTGAAGAGAAGAAACCATGCCATGCCTGTAACAGTTTATTCAAATTTGTGCTAAATGCTTTCCTTGGACTCTCTCATGTAATAATCTTCTGAGGTAGGTTTTATTATTCTCATTTTAAATTGGCAAAAGGTACTGACGGCCAAATCAAATAACCAAGTCACAAACGTTGTATTTTATAACCCAACCTCGTAATATTTTTAACCACTCTCTGGGTAGCTGGAGAAGCCATCACAAAGAGTGGGTTGCAGTCCTGGTCCTTCCTAGAGTGGAGAACTGAGGGAAGATGTGCCTCTGACCATCCCAATCTGACCAATTATTCCAATCTCTTCTACAGTAGGTCTGATTGTGGGCCTGAGAAAGTCACTTTTCTCTATTCAGATTTCATAGTCTCTGGAGAGCACAGAATTTAGCAGCTGAAATCACAAAGTTCAGATCAATCTTGTACAAATAGGCTAACAGTTGCACAGACTTCAATTTGCTCAAACCTGCTAGTTATGTGTCCTTTTTCCCCGTTATACCACCTACTGCTTACTCTCTAGCCCTATGTACGACAGTAGTAACGTACCTTTTTTGTGAGCCGTAGCATTCCATTTTCTTACTCGGGAGGTTTATCTTTGCCTTGAAGACCATTGCTCTGCCAATGTAATAATGCCCCTTCCGCCATGCGTTACGGCCCATAACATAAGATAACCGCTGGGCGAAAGGGCTGACTTCGGGAGATCACTGGGGGCTAAATTTACTAATGTATAAATGCAGATTAGAACTGCAACGGAGCAAGGCCACAGGACCCATGCTGTTAGGATTTAAACAGGAAGCCACACTCGCACACAACCAAAGAATCCACTTTCGCGCCAAAGGCAGGAATCATTTTGTACTCACACACAACACACACTTGTGTTAACATCCGTTAAGGGCCCCGTTTACTGCAGAAATACAGCAGACACCGCAGTGCGTCGGGGTCCTTCTGGCCACAGCACGCATTAGTCGGAGAAATGGAATCCCCATAACCGCCCCAGGGTAACTGCCTGAAGCGATCGCGCATTTGCAGCTCTATTACCGACAACTTAGTGGCTCTGAAAAGAGCCTTTGGGTTAAGTTTAAGCACGCTTACTTGGCAAGTTTACTTGGCGCTGGTGTACTTGGTGACGGCTTTGGTGCCCTCGGACACGGCGTGCTTGGCCAGCTCCCCGGGCAGCAGCAGGCGCACGGCCGTCTGGATCTCCCGGGACGTGATGGTCGAGCGCTTGTTGTAATGCGCCAGGCGGGACGCCTCGCCCGCGATGCGCTCGAAGATGTCGTTGACGAACGAGTTCATGATGCCCATGGCCTTGGACGAGATGCCGGTGTCGGGGTGCACCTGCTTCAGCACCTTGTACACGTACACCGAGTAGCTCTCCTTGCGGCTGCGCTTGCGCTTCTTGCCGTCCTTCTTCTGCGCCTTGGTCACCGCCTTCTTAGAGCCCTTCTTTGGGGCCGGAGCCGACTTGGCGGGTTCAGGCATCCTGACTGCGCTTTCTTCTGACACAACAGAAAACGGAGTCCGCGTCGGGGTCCTGCCTATTTGTAGGCAATCATATGCAAATGAGGAATGCGTTTTGCGACCGCTGATTCGTCGACTAGTGGTGTGGCCTGCAGGCTCATGATTGGCTCGAGCTCTACT